GCATAAAAGTCACCATTTTAAAGTCTTCAGTTCAGCAGTTTTTAGGATATTCACAGTGTCATACAATCACTGCCACTGTCTAATTCCAGAATACTTTAATCACCCCACCAGAACCCTGTGTCGGCTAGCAGTCCCTCCCTCCTCCCACCTAGTTCCTGGCAGCCCCTAATCTATTTTCTGTCTGTGGATTTGCCTCTTCTGGAAAGTTCACATCTGATGTGGCCTCTTGTGAGTGTCTTCTTTCACATTGCATCATTTTTCAAGGTATATCCATGTTGTAACTCCACAACTTCTTTATTGGCTTTTGTGGCCAAATAATATTCCATTGTGTGAATAGGCCCCCTTTTATTTATTCATTTCATCTGTTGATGGGCATGTATGTGGGCTGTTTCTATTTTTGGGCTATGAAGAATAATGCTACTGTAAACATTCATGCACAAGTTTTTTGCAAACATACTTTATTAATTCTCTTGAGTACCTACAAGTAAAATTGCTGAGCCATATAGCAACTGCATGTTTAACTTTTAGAGATACCTCCAAAATGATCTCCACAATGACTGCATAATTTAACATTCCTACCAACTGTGTACAAGAGTTTCAGTTTCTCTAAGCCATTGAGAATGGCAGCTCGTGCCTGCCTATAATGTCAGCACTTGGGAGCCGAGACAGAAGGATTGACACAAGTTTGAGGTCAGCCTGGGCTGTATAGTAAGTTTAAGTTCAGCCTCAACTCAGCAAGACCATGTCTCAAAAAGCAAACAAACATTCCGCCGCCTGCCTCACAAGCACAAGATCCCAAGTTTGATCCCCGGTACCAAAAAAAAAAAAAAGCAAACAAGCAAAAAAGGGCTTCAATTTCTCTACCCTTCACCAACATTTATTTTCCTAGTGTTATTGCAGTCATCTAGCAGATGTGAATTTATATCTCATTGTGTTTTGATTTGCATTTCCCTAATGGCTAATATTGAACACCTTTTCATGTGTCTATTGATCATTTCTGTATTTTCTTTAGAGAAATGTCTATTCAAATTATTTGTCCATTTTTAATTAGGTTGTTTGTCTTTTTATAGTTGAGCTGTACGGATTCTTTATTCTACATACTAAATCCGTATTGTATACATGATTTGAAAATATTCTTGCTGTTCTCAGTGCTGTCTTTGCACTGTCTTGTGTCCTTAATGCATAAAAGTTTTGAGGTGTTTTGTTGTTTTTTGTGGGGTTTTTTTGGTTTTTTGAGGCAAGGTCTCCCTTTGTAGTTCAGGCCGGCCTCAAACTCGTGGTGATCCTCCTGCCTCAGCCTCCTGAGTGCTGGGATTACAGGCATGCACCACCATGCACAACTAATTTTGAGTTTTGATAAGATCTAATTCATCCATTTTTTATTTTGTTATTTGTGCCTTTGGTGTCATATTTAGGAAATGATTACCTGATGCGAGGTCATGAAAATTTATACCTATTGGCTCAGTTACTTTTCTTATTGGTGAGACAAAATATCCAACACCCAAAGTTAAAGAGAGAAAGCTTTATTTGGCTCACAGTTTGTAATTGGCTGGCTCCAAGGCAGGTGGCATGGCAGAGAAACAGTTCATGGCAGGAGAAGGTAGCAAAGTAGTGAAGAACCAGCAAGGGATGACAACAGTGCTCTCTGTCCCTTATATTCTAGCCAGGCTATGTGGCCTTAGGGTGGGTAGCAGTCACACCCGGTGTGGGCCTTCTCATTATCCACACCCAGAACTCTGCCAAACCAGTCAGTGGACTAATTTAGTAATCACACACCCTTGATCCCAGCATCACACACTCTAGATCCAGCCACCTCCCAAAACTCCCACCTATGACCACATGAGGCTTTGGAGGGACATCTAGACACAAGCCGTACACCTATCTTCCCTTCTAAGAGTTTTGTCGTTTTGGCTCTTACATTTCATGTTTGATTCATAATTTTCAGGGTGTGCAGTAGAGCTCCAGCTCATTCTTTTGCTTGTGGAAGTCTCCTGTCTTAGGACAATTTGTTGAAAAGACTCCTCTTTCATCACTGAATGGTCTTAGAACCTCTGTCAAAAATCAAGCAATCAAGCCAGCCATGGTGGTGCACACCTGTCATCCCAGCACTCAGAAGGCCGAGGCAGAAAGATCGCCACAAGTTTGAGGCCAGCCTGAGCTACATAGTGAGTTCAAGGTCAGACAAGAATATACAGTGAGACCCTTTCTCAAAAAAACAAACCAAAAAGAAAATCAAGCAATCATAGGTGCATGGCTTTATTTATGGATGCACAATTTTATTCCATTGATCTGTATGTCTACCCTTTTCCCAATACCTTATTGTTTTGATTATGGTGGCATTGTAGTAAGTTTTGAGATTAGACAACATTGGGTCCTCCCAGTTTGTTCTTTTTAAAGATTGTTTTGGCTCTTCAAGTCCCTTAATATTTTGGGTGTGTTTTTAAAATTAGTGCATATTAATTATAGAGAATAATAGGATTCATTGTGGCATTTTTATACATGCATGTAACATACTGTGACCATATTCACCCCCTTTACCCCCGGCCACCAGCCCCTTTCCTCTTCTCCATAGTCTTCCTTCTACTTTCACGTCATCTTTTTCTCCCCTAGATCCCACATATGATAGAAAACACACAAGACTCATCTTTCTGAGTCTGGCTTATTTTGCTTAATGAGACGATTTTTAGTCCCATCTATTAATACTATTTGGAGGTGATCCTTTGGGATGCAATGAAGGTTAAATGAGGACATAGAGCCCTAATCCGATGGACTGTTGCTTTATAAAAAGAGGAGAGACCTGAGCTAGGATGTTCTGTCTTGTCGTGTGATGCCATGTGCTCCTTTGGGACTCTGCAGAGAACCCCCACTAGCAAGAACCTCACCCATTTCAGTTGCCCAAACTTGAAATCACCAGCCTTCAGAACTGTGAGCTGAACAAGTCTTTACTCCTTATAAATCCTCAGTCTACAGTATCCACTTGAGGCAGAAAATAGACTGAGAAAGCGTATGACATCCTCTTCCACAAATGTACTGGGTTGAAGAAAGGGGGGAGAAGGAAATTGAAGGTCACTTGAGGCCTCAATTCCTACAGGATGTAGGAGCAGATCAGAGGGACATCGAAAACCCAGGGCAAAACAAGGATGACTGACACTGTAAAATCATGACATACTTATCTGTTCCCTTCCCAAAAATAAAGGATAAGACCCTGATTGGCCTAGTGCACACCAATCAACAAAGCAGTTTGCCCTGTAAGTATAGACACATCTCATACTCACCACATCTGAACAGCAGATTGGTGCTGTTAAGATAGCCTTTCTTCTGCCTCCTCTGCATTTGCCACACTTTACTCTTTCACTTCGCACTATACTAGTCCTGATTCCATTTCTTGCTAAGAGCTCCACTTCTCCACTCTTCACCAGAGTGAGGGCAAGGACCTGAAGAGATGTGGAGGGTCATTACTGGGGACCCCCCTCCTCCGCTGGACACGAGGACAAAATATATATCTCTCTTTTGGGTAATTATTGAAAATTATTTCAAAAGAAAACTTCAGAATTTCTGTCATCTTGGCAATTTCTCAAAGTATGGTTTTCCATTAAATAGAAATTGGCCAGGTGTGGTGGCACACACCTGTAATCCTAGCACTCAGGAGTCTGAGGCAGGAGGATCTCATGAGTTGAAGGCCAGCCTGGACTACACAGGGAGATCAAGTCCGGAAAAAGAAAAGAGAGAAATCTATGAAAACATGGATGTTAAAATGAAGGGCAGGGTAGAGGTTATAAAAGCCATGCTTTTGGTTTGGGGGAAGTGGATCTCTCACACACACACACACACACACACACACACACACACACGTAGCTTCTGGTTTCAGTTTAAATATAACGTGTTTGGACTGGCCTTTCCTGACCATCGTGTGGTGTTGAGAAGTTATTCTGAAACAACTTGGCCCTCGTGGGAGATGACTAGACCCCCAAATGCTATGAGACTAAGAAAGAGAGGCAGGAGATCCAGGTGGATCCCTGCAAGTTGGGTAGAAAGAGGGGCATACAGATGGCTTAGGAGAAAAGTGACTTCATCCTGGCTGTACCTGGTTTATCTTAAGATAATATGGAAGAGTCAGGTACGTCCCCAGTTCCAGGGTCCAGTTGTAAAGCTCCACATACCACTCCAGCGGTTCTATTTGTGGTTTGCTGGGAAAGTGCAGGAAAAACAGACCAGGATAACTCTGGTGCAAGCACAGCCGTCATGATTCAAGATGGCCACGGGCACGTCAAGGCAAATCTATGCAGAAGTCATGCTAACTCTGTTTTACGCTACTTCACTGCTAATTTGCTTTATTGCAGTTATTACATTTCGTAGTTATTTTAATTGCCCGTCCCCACTCCGTGAGGGCAGGGTCAGGTTCATATTTATGGCCAGCCTAGCACAGGGCCTGGCCTACACCGGGTGGTTAAGAAACTTTCTGTTGAATGAGAAGCAAGGAGAAGCAGGCTGTGGAACAAGACCCTGGTAGCATCCACAGCTTTGCAGCAGGCAGCAGAAAGCAGGGTTCTGGAGTCTCTGTATAAGGCCCTGACAAGGAAGGACGCGCCCTGGCATGGTCAAACAAGGCAGCCTAGCCAGAGAATTACCGGGAGCACTTAGGGATGCACAGTGTAGAGTCCTAGCCTCCTCCTCTGACGCACTCCGGATCAGAATCTCTGGGCCGAGGAATCTGGGTGAACAACAGGTCCCCAGGCGACTCTGAAACATCTGGAGGCTGGAGGCGCTTGGATTTAAGCAACAAAGGTGCGTGCACTGTGGGGCGGAGGAGAAGGGCTAAGAAGGTGACTCCAGCCGGCTAGGGGTCAAGGCTTTAAACCAAAGACGCAGCCGGGCTAGAGCCCCGCGCCCCGAGGCCGCCCAACCTCTGGGACCTTTGGCCGCACTTGGCCGGCGGCCGCCCGGAACCCGCCCCAGCCTCCGATTGGCTGCTGCCCAGCCCATCCTCCGGTCTCGGCCAAGGGGATCGGCGCACGCCGGAAGCCGGAACGTGAAGCGCGGCGGTAGCGACGCAGCCGGCTTCTCCCGGGCTGCTATCCCTGGCGTCATGAGAGGCTTCGGGCCAGGCTTCGCCACACGGAGTCTCCTCCCGCTGCGGTTTGCCCCGCGGGCGCCGTGGCCGCCGTGGCCGCCGGGGCCCCTGCGGTGTGTCAGGCCGGCGGCGACGGGCTCCCTGACGCGGACCATGGACGAGCTGCTGCGCCGCGCCGTGCCGCCCAAGCCGGCCTACGAGCTGCGCGAGAAGACGCCGGCGCCCGCCGAGGGCCAGTGCGCCGACTTCGTGAGCTTCTACGACGGCCTGGCCGAGGTGGGCCAGCGCGCCGAGCTGCTGGGCCTCCTGGCGCAGGCTTTCGGTGTGGACCACGACCAGGTGGCCGAGCAGAGCGCCGGCGTGCTCCAGCTGCGCGAGCGGCCGCGGGAGGCGGCCGTGCTGCTGCAGGCCGAGGACCGGCTGCGCTACGCGCTGGTGCCGCGCTACCGCGGCCTCTTCCACAACATCAGCAAGCTGGACGGCGGCGTGCGCTTCTTGGTGCGCCTGCGGGCCGACCTGCTCGAGGCGCAGGCGCTCAAGCTGGTGGAGGGGCCGCACGTCCGGGTAAGGACGGCCCTCCCCGCGTGGGGCTCGCCCGGCCACGCCGCCTCCCCTGCGTGACAGCCCCCGAACTCTGCCCCTTCCTCCCCGCCTCTGAGTCCTTGCCTAGGCCCAGCGCGCCCCTGCCGCCCGCCCGCCAGCCTCACCTTGCAAGCCCCACCCACGTGTACAGCGTTCACTAAGCGCCCAGCTCTGCGCCACCCTCGAGGTGACTTTCAGGCCTGTCAGCGTGCTCTACAATGTCTTTCTGTTATTTTAACTGAGGTAGGGACAAAGGCAATCTAAAAACCTGGCTGGTGTCAGCCTGTTAATTGGGCACCCACTGTGTGTAAAATGATGTCCTAAGAAAGCCCGTGAAATGCACACAGGTGACTAGAATTTAAGATCACTGCCTCCTAAGAGTCTCAGTGCCTTCTGACCTTTCAGCTTCGAAACTTGTGGGCAGGTTATTTTAATTCCCTGAGCTCAGCCCTAAAAGCAGGGATTTTTGAGTTGACTTCTTGACAGAGCCAGTTGCTTAGTGCAGTGAATTCATGCCCAGATATATTCTTTGAGATTTAAATGACTGTGACCGGAAAAACGGCCTAGAGTCACATGTAGTCCTTGTGTAAAATAAATCTAATCATCTAAAATGTGGAGGGAACACCATCCTGCCCTTTTAGTGAGTGAAAATGACCGTGAGTGTTTCAGAACGTTTCTAACACTCAACTTTATTACATGGTTTTGAAAAGTTTAATAGCTAAATGATTATATCTGAAGTCATGTAAGAGCTCTAGAACTGGCCATTAACAGTTTTTACTTTTGCTCCTTCAGTCTCAGGGAGGTGATACCCTATTCTCTCAGAGTAAGGAGATAACATGCTGAGGTTGTATGACTCGTCCAAGAACTCAGATGTGCTTCCGATTACCCACCCAGATCCATTGTACTCTGGGAGCTAACAGAAACTTATCTTTTTTGGCTGCTTAGCCTCAGATACATAAAAATTGGGTGTAGTGAAGAATCCAAGTGTTTACAGGGGCCATGATTTCATGACTCATGATAGCTGGTTCATTTATAATGCTGAGCATGACCTAGGACCACAGACCTTCGGCCGTAAGATTCCCAAACTGAAAAGGCCCAGTTCATTGGCTGTCACAGACTGAGCCACAGATTCTTACCGTGTTGACTCTTCCAGGTTCAAGCGCAGTCTGACTGGTTGAACTTTTGTGTTCCACATCATGAGGACATAGTGTTTGAAAGGCATTATCCCTCTACCCCGCCCCCCAAACTAGATGATTGGTGTCATGAAAACTGCAGCCTTGCCTTAAATTTCTTGCATAGCAAAATGGCAAGCGAATCTTTGAGATAGACTCAGTGTCCTGGCCTGAGGCAGACTCGGGACACTAATGAGTCACGATTGTCTGGATGTCAGACTGCTCCAGGCGCCCTCACAGGCTTCCGAACCCAGAGGCAAGCCAAGAAGGGCTAGAACAGCTTCCGCACAGCGGAGAGTCATAATAGCAGTGATTTGGAGAGCTTGGCTCGGGCTGATTCCTGAGGTCCCATCCGAGTCTACACCCCCTTGTTCTTCCCCACAGGAGGGAACTCATGGTTATCACGTAGCGTACGGGGAGCCTCGAGGGGAATGAATGCTCCAGCTCAGAGACGACCTTTGGGGAGGAGCTTGCTTCCGGGAAATCCAGGGAAGACAACCACGCTGAGCCCTTAGACATCGCTTTATTCATCTAGGCTGTCCTACACATTGCAGACTGTCAGGCCAGAAGTCATGGAGAATAGAGAAATGTATTGAGCAGAGAATGGATACAGTAGCCTGACCTTTGGCCCTCCACATAGTTTGGACTCATTGGCCACCGAAATTTCTAGTGGCTGTGTTGTGCCTCAATCATTTGTCCACCTAGAAACCCCAGCTTTATGTCCATCGCATAAAGTCAGTTAATTCCTTTCTCCTTCACTTTACTTAGTTACATAATTTGTTAAAAATCTCTGTCATTTAAATCATTCTGAAAATAGTTTTTTCTATCTCTAGAAATTGTCTGTTGGGGTTTGATCTCATAACCTATCATCAGAATCATTTAGCTGCTGGGTGTTTTTTAAATAGGTTTTAGCCGAGTGTGGTGGCTGCCTGTAATCCCAGCACTCAGGAAGCCAAGGCAAGAGGATTGATTGCCTTGAGTTTGAGCCCAGCTTGGGCTGCATGGTAAGTTCAAGGCCAGAATGAACTACATAATGAGACCCTGTCTCACAAATTATTTTTTTTAATTAAATTATAGTTGTGGGGGTTTTTTTGTTTTTTTTTTTTGGTACTGGGGATCCAACTTGGGACCTTGCGCTTGCAAGGCAGGTGGCGGAACCACTGAGTTAAATCCCCGGCTCTTTTAAATTTTAGTTTTTAGAGTAGTTTTAGGTTCATGGAAACGCTAAATAGAAAATACAGATTCCCCAGATACCCCACACTCTCAGCCTCCCACACACATCTGCAAGTCACACACATCACTGTCACCCAGAGTCCATAGCGGACATTAGAGTTCACTGTGGGTGTTCTGTTTCAGTCTATTCTCATTCTTTAGGACTTTGTATCATGTTAAAGAAGCAACTCAGCTAGAACTTTTTGCTTTCAGGAATTCAGTGTTAAAAACTTACAGAAGTTTGGCATAGGACGCTTTAGAGCAGGACCCCCTTGAGTGGTCCAGTGGAGGAAGCTCAGAGTGGGAAGTGAGCAAGTCCCATTCCCTTCACACCATCTACTAAAAGATGTGATTCTAGCCGAGTAATATACCTCCCCTACACCCATTGGTTCTGCAGATTCAGTTGATGGAGTGAGCTCGACGTCAGCCTGGTTTTTTCCTAAGAGATGCCCTGAGAGATTTATTGGAGCTTTGCTAAACATACCGTAAACAAAGGAGGCACAGTTTGTCAGGAGCTCTTGCTCTCTCGTCAGGGTTGTGACTATGGGAAATGTAAGAATTCGTAAGATGGACCTTTCCATTACCCAGGCAGCCCAGCCAAAGGACTGCAGGCAGGTGGCCAGGCTGGGGATTCCTTGGATATTTTAAATCAGATAAGGTTTCTTTTCTCTCCCTTAGGGATGCTTAATCCTTTGGCCACAAAGTTTGAAGTCAATAGCAAGTCTCCTTGCTGGAAAGTACAAGTGGTACTTTGAAAGTTTTTACCATGTGGCAAAGATCAAATATCTGGGTTGTGTCTTTCAAGATAGAAAATTAATACGTGGAAAAAGAAAATGTGAACCTTGCCTGAAGTTTATTTTCAAAACATTACAGGCGTTGGGGTTTTTGAGTCATGAGTACCAGATCTCTACTGCTACAGTGTAGATTTGTGGGACTCTTGGATTACAAGTGAACTGGTCTTCATGGTGTGTTTCAGTAGAGGAATTTTAGTCATTTTAATAATCAAGGAATTTGGAGAAAAGGCACTTAATATCCTTGACCTCTGTGGTCACAAAACCCAAAATGTTAACCTATAGAAAAGGGAATAGTAAAGGAGTTAGTCGGCCTAGGGAGTGAACTGGAACCAATAAAGCAGCTTCAGCACGCCAGATGCATTCCTTTTGGTTAGAAAATGTTCTTTCCTTGGTTAAAGTTCTGGTGGGTTTAGAGGCTTATTAGTGGGCTTGTTATTTCTGCAGAAACTAGTGGTTTTACTTGTTCTTTCATGAGATGCCATTTGGGCTCAGGCGCAAATTCAGATCCACGGTCAGTATCACTTTGTTTCCTCATCTCCAGACCGCACTCGGGTGCACGGAGAGTACTGTAAAAGGTGACAGCTAATGTCAGCCAGATATGGCTGCCATGGAGGGAACAAAGTCTTCAGCCAGAGGAGGAATGCTGTTCACTGCCACCTCTGGACAGGGTGTGGCCAGCTGTGCCCAGCCTGCCTTCCTTCAGAGATCCATCTAGGGGTGTGTGGCAGGTGTGTGCTGTAGGGTGAGGCTTGTAGGATTTTTGTTTTTCTCCATACACATTTCATGGGGTCCGTTTGGCTGATGGCTTAAGTTTCTTTGAGACGACATCCCAGTGAGACAGTTGAATCCCCAGAGTAGTTGAAGGTCTGGGTGCTGCTCAGCCTGGACGGTGCCTGGTGGATGTTGGCATTGAGAGCGCAGAGAGGTGTCTTGATGGGCATTTGCAACAGGGGAGTCATGGTGAAGTGGGAGGTGCAAGAGCCTTAAGGGAAGTATGGGAGCCAGAGAAGGGAGTAAGCTCCGTCAGACCCGTAAGTCAGTACCGTGTTCCTGAGTGTTCTCATAAAGTCTGTGCTTAGCTATGCTAAATAAGAGTTTATTTTTAGATAAAAAGCACACCCCACTGTGTACAGCGCACACCTGGGAGGTGTGAGTTTCTGAGTCCATGCACCACTCTCCTTGCAGTGGCTGCCTCCTCCCTCCCAGCTTGGGGCTCCTGAGTACCTTCTCTTCTCATACCTAAGCTCAGCACATCTTCAGAGCCAAAAGTTTGTTGGCTGTTCTCTTAAACAGTGTCATCAGGAAAACTGGAGTTAGCAGTGCACAACAAACTGGCAACTAAAGCCAGCTTCAGCATCACCTAAAATATTCCCAGCAGTTGCACTGTCCAGCCTTTCATTGTTGATCTGCAATTGCTGCATTAATGAGCGAAAAACAGAGACTTCTTTCTCGCCTGCTGCTTGTAATGCGGCAATCTTACATGCTGTGGTAAGTAGCATCCTGAACAGCTGTCATCAAGTGCTAGAACTGGCCACTGGACTTCTGACCCTTAGCCTAGATTCCTGGTGGTCCGGTCCAGCATCACATGCCTTAGCTGTCAGCAGCCCAGAATAGAAGAAGGAGACTTTGAGAGGAGAGGTTTCATTAGCCCGTTTCTTTTATAACTCTTGAGTTTGTGTTAGTTATTTTTCTCTCATTTCTGACACAAAATACCTGGCACCCAAAGTTAAAGGGGAAGAGGTTTATTTGATCACAGTTTGTAGAGGTTTCAGTCCGTAATCTGCTGGCTCCAAGGCAGGGTGGCAGAGGGGCAACAGTTCATGGCAGTGAAGCAGCAAAATCAAGAGAAGCAGGAGGAGAATCACAGAGGGAAAATAGTTCATGGCACCCACCAGGTAGCAAAAGCAACAAAAGGAACCTTAACACCGTCTTTCTGCTCCTTTTATCTTATTCAGACTCGGGGGATTAGGGCGGTGCCAAACCAATCCCTCACATGTAGTGGTTTAGTAGTTACACGCCCTTGATCCTAGCGTCACACATTCCACATTTAGCTACCTTTGAAAAAGACTGCATGAGGCTTTGGGGGCACATCTCAACATAAGCCGCAACTGAGTTCATGCTGAAACCAGGTGTTTCCAGCTTTTTGCTGTCCTCAGTGTAATAGGGCTCCAGCGCGGCTTCTGCCCTACGGCTGAGCTAGCCTGTTCCCGACCATTCTGTACAGAAGTTCTTCACTTGGCCTCCTCGAGCCCCAGGAAATTGCATGCAACATTTTATTAATGTGTTGGCATTGGGGGTTCAGTGATTTTTAGCACATACTTGAGAGTGGGAGGATCCTGGGATTAAGAACCATTGTGGTCAAGTGCAGAGCACAGATTTTAAGAGCCATTCTGTATTGCCTGGCAAATGATCAAATAATCTCTCATCCTCAGGGCCTGCTACTCCCAATCATCATTCCTTTTTCTTTTTATCTGATATCAGTCCATTAATGAATCCTGTGGGAACTATAGAAATGAATCAGAAATGGACTTTACCCTTACAGAGATTAGATAGAGACAGAGAGTAAAGGAGATTAGGTAGGGAATCCAGGTGAAGGAGCTGCAGAGATTATCCTGCACAGCAGCCTATCCAGCGCTGAGTCCTTTCTCAGCTCCACAGGGTTTGCGTCTGTCCTGTGCACATCACATCTGTGATGCACTGCACCCTCTCCCACAATGACATCTGCGGACAGCATTGCCCTCAGAGCTCCTTCCTGACGTTAAATCCAGTCCCGTTTGAGTGTCTGTGACTTCCACAGTTGGTCCTAGATTTGTCCTCTCCCTGGCCTTCTCTGTGCCCTAGTGCTTAAGGATATAAAGATAGACCCCATACACTGCTAAAAACTTCCCCAAGCCACCCACCACTGCACCTTTTGCTCAGGTGACAGAGGTCTAAGATTTTTCATCTTGTAACAGGAATTAAAACATAAGTTGGCACTACAAAGTTCGTACAGCTGTTAAAAACTGGACTTTATAGGTGATACCCATCATGTCCTTGGTGAACCTTACACCAAGATTCAGAAGGTCAGTTCAGAACCAGAGGCACTGAGATGTTTACTGTCATTTAATAATACTATTCGGTGTATATGGTAGCATATAGTTCACCTAGTTTACCCATGAGTAACAGGAAACCCAAAGTAAATGGTGGTTTGAAAAACAGGTTGGTCTCAAGGGTGGTCAGAGTCTAAGGGTAGGCAGCCCAGGGCTGTTTCTGCTCTGTAGTGTGCTCAGTGATCCAGGCTTCGGTAGTTATTCTGCCCTGAAAAACCATGTTGGAAGTCACCTCATGCCCCCATGGTTGTTCCCATGCTAGCCATTCCAGCATAGCACAGGACAAGGAAAGGGCGTGCTTCTGCAATCTTTTAGGGGTCCTCAGAGCTGCCAGGGGGCCTGCTCACACCTTGTCAGCCAGATCTTGGTCACAGGACCGAGGTGCAGCACAGTCTTTATTCTAGACACCCATGTGCCTGGCTGAAAAACAAGGCTTCTCTTTGCTTAGAAGGAAGAGAAAGCAGCCGCTGGACAACCCCAGCGTTACCTGCCATCCTCGGCACCCTCACTACTGTGTCTGGCAGCAGCCTTTTGCTGTTCCATGCTCAGCTGTACAAGGCTGCCCTGAGTGCAGATTCTGCCCCAGCTTGTGTACCTCTTGTTCAACTCTTGCCTGAAAGGTTTCAGCACAAATGGGTCTTTGGTGTCAGCTCAGAGCATTTTTAGAAGTAAAGCAAAATAGTATAATTTTGTCGAATCTGAAGTACATTGTTTGCAAAATGCACTATATTTTAGGTTCCCCTAAAGTAGATGCCACCAATTAAAATGCTACCAATTAAGCTGTGAACCACCATTCTTTACGAGGTGTTGCCTGATGTTCAAACATGAAGAAGCGGCATCTTCAAGTTGATAAAACAGATCCTGGACGAGTCCTTGTTTCTCTTGGGAAGCACGGGCGTAATGTGCCACATCAAAGAATGCCCCATGTGGGGAGGGCTTGCTGGGCCTGTGCGGTCCACATTGCTGCTTCGTGTAAGGTGCATGTTTCATTGTCCTGTTTGTTTGTTGAGACAGAGTCTCACTAGGTAGCCCAGGCCAGCCTCAAATCCGAAGCAATCCTCCTACCTCAGCCTTCCTGAGATCCTGGGGTCACAGTTGCACTCCACCACGCCCAGCTATCCTATTACATGTTTACTTAGGTTCGCTGCAGTGAATTTATTGGAACAGATTGTATGATTTGGGCAGCTTAGCTCAAAATTAACTTTCCCATTCAAACATCTTACAGACTACAGTGGTAAAGTCTAAGTAGAGAGCAGGTTAAGGCCTGGTTTGAGATGCGAGTTCCTTAGAGGCGGCAGGACATCGTCATGCAAGTTTCTCTTCTATCACAGCTAAGCGTTTTAACCTGCTGTGTCATGGTGATGCAAAGGTGGTTTGGGGCTGAGGTACCTCGATAACCAACCCTGTCTCTTCTTTGCAGGAGATGAATGGGGTGCTGAAAAGCATGCTCTCAGAATGGTTTTCCCCTGGGTTCCTGAACCTAGAAAGGGTCACCTGGCATTCGCCATGTGAGGTGCTTCAGAAAATCAGCGAGTGAGTATCAAAGTTTTCCCATCTTTATGTTGTAGCTGAAGGCCAACGCCCATCCACATGTACATTTTATTCTGACCTAACAAGTCCCCAACCCAGTGTTCACCAGTGCGGTGGCTGCCATCTCACGTGACACTGAGATGGGGGCAGGGCCGGGAGAGAAGCTCTCCTGTCTGGCAATAACCCGGGCCTTGTCTGTAGCCTGTTTAAAGCAAACAGGCCCATTTATGGCTTCCTCAGGCTACATTGTCAGAGTTTTGTGAACTCACTGGACCAGGTGTTTGCATTAGTAATCAAGAGAGCATTTATCACTGGGTATTTTGGTGCACAACTATAATCCCAGTGCTCAGGGGGCTGAGGCAGGAGGATTGCTCTGAGTTCCAAGGCAGCTTGGGCTACATAGTGAGTTCAAGTAAGCCTGAACTGCCTAGTGTAACCCTGTCTCAAAAAGCCAAAATAGGCTGGGGATTTAGCTCAGTGGTTTTGCCGCCTGCTGTGCAAGCGTTAAGGACCCGAGTTCGATCCCTGGTACCAAAAAAAAAAAAAAAAATCCAAAATAAAGGGGGGGGGCGGGGTCCAGGGATTTAGCTCAGTGGTTCGGCTGCCTGCCTCAAAAGCGCAAGGACCTGAGTTCAATCCCCGGTGCCAAAAAAAGAAAGCATTCACCTCATCTAATTCTTACGTCTCCCTGGTGAGAATCTAAATGAGCTGTGTCAAGTGTGTGATCGCCGCATGTCTGGGACACAGCGTCGCACAGCCTGTGCCTTGCGGCCTCCTGCCCACACCCTGTGCTGTCTTGTCCTGTGGCATCTGAGGCCTGAGAACGTCCTGCCCTTAGACGCGTCGGTGATGACAGTGCCTGCTGAGACAAAGTTGTGGTGGGGATGAGGATGGGGAACAAAGGGACCCGAGAGGGAGCGTGCACAGCTTGGGCGACCACCTGAAACCCAGGGATCCCAAGGAGAGACAGCTACGGCGAGGCCCACGGTCAGCATCACAGACCAGCAGTCTGGTGTTGCGAATGAGAGCACAGCCCTGTGTGTAAAGTGGTCGCAAATTGCAGTTTCTCTCAGTGCTGTTTCACATTAAAATGATTTTCTTCGAGTTTTCCATTAGTGTCACTGAGAGCTATATTGAAGGATGTATTTGGCCTTTGTGGGTAGCGGGCGTAGAAATCAGCAGTTGTTATTTAACTTTACGAGTAAGTTGTGTTCGTCTTCTCTGTGTGATTCCTCGTCAGGTCTGAGGCCGTGCATCCTGTAAAGAACTGGATGGATTTGAAACAGCGCGTGGGGCCCTACAGGCGGTGTTATATCTTTTCTCACTGTTCGACCCCTGGGGAGCCCCTGATCGTTCTGCATGTGGCGCTCACCAGCGACATTTCCAACAATATCCAGGTACCTACAGATGGAACTCAGGACAAGATAGCATCTCACAGAGTCCCTTAAGGTTTTGTTTTGTTTTTAGCTTGGTTTTATGTTCTTCTGCTCCTCTTTTTTGTTTTTGTTTTTGAGCCAGAGCCTTGCTTTGTGGTTCAGGCAGGTCTTGAACTCAGGGAGATCCTCCTGGCTCAGCCTGCTGAGTAATGGGATTACAGGTGTGAGCCACCATGCCCAGCTTATTTTCTTTCCTAAAAGCAGTTGCTTTGAATTTTCATAGACTTTGGACATGGGCTGATGAGCCCTCCAGATGTGTAGTTACAGAACTTTGTTAAGTGCCTGTGGGCACTTTTAAGAGATGTGTGACTGAGAAATTGTCAGATAGAGCGGTGCAGATCTGCTGCGGAGTAGAGGGCGGGGCATGATGGCCTCAGCCGGTCCCTCCTGTGGCCAGCTGGGCTCCTCTTGGAGGAAGAGGGCCTCCAGGGAAGCGCACATAGGACTGCAGGTCTCAGTGGAGATCACAGCAGTGGGTTGGAGTGTGAGGCCCGGGGCTGAGGGTTTGTGAGGCCCGAGGCCTGGGGTCAGAATAGCTGTGAGGCAGGCAGTGAGCGATAAGACTTTGCAAGAGATGCCCCGGGGCAGAGTCTGTGCATCTGAGATGTCACAGTCATTGAGCAGGGCAAGCAGGCAGTGCCTCAGTCACCGGGGACTCCCTCAAAGGTCTGGAGTGTGAAGGAGCAGCCTCTCACGCGCTGCCGTAGGACTGGAGGCTATCCGGGCCTCTGAGAGGGCAGTTTGGAGTGTGTTCCAGTGAGGGATGCCTTCCTCTGACCAGCCTGAAATCTCCACTGCAGAGTCCCGACATGCAGCGCTGCCTACTGTAGAACACTCGAGGTCCTCGCTGTCCTTCAGTGGAGGCTGCTCAGTCGATGCTGTGAGAACAGGCTCTCCACCACACACACACACGGGGTCTCTGTTTAAATGGTGGTGTAGGTTTATGTTTGACACAGAAAGCCAGCCTGGACTTACTGGCGAATAATAATCCAGGTTACAGAAAAGCACGCAGTGTGCAGCCTTAATTACAATATTTGTGATATCTGTTGAGCATACTCTGTTATCCGTTGGGCCGTGAAACATGTTCTGTGTGAAATGGCTCAGCATTGCATGAGCTATGTATCAGTTGTATCGTGGGCCTCGTTTTAGACATAAGAACACTGAAGCTTAGGGAAATGGCTGTAACTTGCCCACCGTCTGGAGCAGTAGGGATGGGATGGAGATTCAAACCCAGCCTGTGTCTGTGACCCCACGAAAAAAGTGCTTTCCATGAGTTCTGGGCGAAGCAGCCCTCATGAGGAGCCCAGTGTAGCTGGTGGAAGGTAAAGCAGCTTAGAGGTGTTCTTCCAAAGCCAGTTGTGTGCCTGCCTCAGCTGCTGAAAGGGAGCCGCTTGCTGGTGCGCTGCGAGTACTGACTAGGGTTCCAAAGACCTGCCCGCAAAGGTGAGCTGATAGTCAGGCTTCAGCTGAGTGCCTTTCCAGTCTTCATAGATTGCTTTGTATGTGTGTCTGTGTGAATCTGAGTTTTCATTTAGTAAAACTAAGGATGTTGGCACAAAATTAAAAAGTTAAAAAGAAGAGCCCTCAAAGGGTTAATTTTGAAAAAAGATAATTTACTTTGGCCTGCTGAGAAATCTGAAAAACTAACGTTCAGAGAAAGGAGCAAAAGTAACTAAAGAGTAGAAAAGCAGGGCTTTGAGAAAAATGTACAGAACCCAGAGCTTAGATGGCCGCATTGGCCTCAGTGCAGGTTCCAGGCAGGGGCACTTCAGCATCAAGTGCCAGTTTGCGCGGAGGCCTGGGAGGGGCAAAAGGGCACTGAAGAGCCATTCAGCAGAGCTTGCATAAGAGTCTCAAAACAGCAGAAATGAAGGCGCTGAGCAGGCACCCCGGGGAGGTGGGGAAGTGGTCAGCTGTGAGAACTTTCAGAACAGCAGAGAGCATTGCAGCCTAAACCATTGATCTCTCTGAGAAGCATCCTGTGGCCATTGGCAGGGGCGGGCTGCAGGCGGGAGAGCGGCCTCCCCACCTGGGACCCCTGGTTCGTGTGTCTCAGGCCATCATAAAGGAGCGGCCCCCGTCAGAAATGGAGGAGAGGGGCAGAATCACCACCGCCATCTTTTACTCCGTCAGCCTCATACAGCAGGGACTGCAGGGCGTCGAGCTGGGAACTTTCCTCGTAAAGCGGGTCCTCAACGAGCTGCAGGTGAGTGTGGCCTCGAGAGGCGGTGGCCACATCCTGGTGGTCCCACTGGTGCGTCCCGCTGTCAGGCGTCCTGATGGGAGCTGGGTCCTGCCCACTCCTTGGGCACAGGACAGAGATGGGAGTGAGCAGAAGGAAAAGAGGAGGAATAGAACAGTGCCCGTTGCTCCTCAGCAGGTCCTAGGAGCCACAAGACTGCTGAGAGAGGCCACCCAAAACCCGGCCTGTCGCTAACTGCAAATGAAGCTGTGGGCTGAGACCGTGAGCCCTTGAGGGCCACCTTGCCCTGGCTGGCCAGTTGCTCCTCGCCGCCCGAGCTGTCCCCGCTGCTCCCTCCACTCCCCTGCTGTCTGGGCCCAGGGCCTCACACCTGTGCCTGGCCGCCTGCACCGCGCAGGGCCCCTGGCTCCTGTCGGTCCATCAGCAGGGCTTTCTCACAGCCTGGTTAGAGCGAGCAAGCACTGCAGCTTGCTGTTGGCCTCACCCCTTCTTGCTGCCTCCAAAGGACACTTCCTCAGCCCTGTGACAGCAATACACCGCTGCTTTGGGCCCAGATTGAAAGCTGCCCCAGAGGCACTGGAGAGAGCTTCTGTGCATGGGTCTGCTCCGGCAGAGTGACCGGATCGCTGAGCACTGCGCTGCTTTAGCGTGGCTGCTGCAGCGGAGGACAGCAGAGTGGAGTCCGCTCATGATCAGTTCTAACCCGGGAGCTCAGCGTGTGGTTTCTTCACTGCCGTTCTGCTGCTCTTCCCCCGGAGGTGCTAACAGGCCACATCCAATTAGTACACGCTTCTTCTTAGCCTTTTTCTGTGCTGGTGCAGTTGGGGTGTGGGGCTGTAAGGGCAAGAAAGGCAGTAAGAGGGTGAGCAGGATCCTGGGTTCTGTGTGAGCCCACCACACTGCACCGTGACCGAGCAGCCACCCTGGCAGGGCCCCTTCCCTGCACTCAGCTTGAGCCGGAGGCCTGCAGGAACCTTGAAGGAAGGCTGCCCTCTGCACAAGCGGCTGTACGGGGTTGCACATGCCAAAGACGAGCCTCCGCACATACCCAGCATGCAGGCCGTGGTTAGGGGAGCCGTGGCAGTTCTGTATTTTTGAATTTGAAATGATACTTAGAAAATGTATGGCTCCTAATATACATCCGTGATGCAGGCTGTACAGTAGATTCCCAGCCTCGTAGAGACCAGAGCATTACGCTTATCAGACTGTTGACAGGAAGGTTCTCACAGTGGTGGAGTATGGTGCTTTTCTTTTTTCATAAATTAAAACAAATCTATAATAAGCACATATTACATTTATAATCATAAAATTCTGGACTTTTAAAAATAATCAAGATCTCTGGACAATTTGAACAGGAATGAAGGAACTGTGTGGTTTGGTGACAGACCCCTGCCTGCCCCTCCGGTCCCCCACCATCCCTTCAGAAGTGTAGCTGGGTGTTGCTTATCCACTCACACTTCCCTGGGCCCTTGAGTGCCGCCACGTGTCAGACCAGACTCCGTGCTCCAATGGCCTCCCAGGAGGGTGTGCTGCGATGGGAAGGTGAAGCCGGTGGTGGTCAGAGCGATCACGGTTCGGGGCCAGAGCTCTGCTTGGTTGCAGGCAACTCCCCGGCCTCTGTTTTGCCACTGTAACAATGGTGCAGATGGAGACAGCACCTTAAAAGCCCTGCCTTGGGGACTCAAGGTGCCTCCAGGCCCTGGCACACACCAGCTTCCTAATACATGTGCCTTGAAAGAAGAAAAGCACAGTCATCGATGTCACGTGTCACCCTGTCTGCTACAGAGCAGTGATATTAGACAGTGAGTTGAGTGGTGTCCCGTGTGGGTTCGAGTCTGCTGAATCTGTATTTTCTCCACCTTCCTCTCTCCATCACCTGCTGTACAGAAAGAGTTTCCTCAGCTGGGGGCCATTTCCAGTCTGTCACCCATACCTGGATTCACCAAGTGGCTTCTGGGGCTTCTGAGCTCGCAGACAACGGAGCATGGGCGGAAGGAACTGTTCACAGATTCGGAGCATAAAGAAATCGCCGAGATTGTCGGCAGCCCAGTCCACGAGACCCTCAGGGTTCTCCTCAGCAGCAGCGAGTGGGCACAGTCGGAGAAGCTGGTGCGGGCGCTCCAAGTGCCCCTGATGCGGGTCTGCGCCTGGTACCTGTACGGGGAGAAGCACCGCGGCTTCGCCCTCAGCCATGTGGCCAACTTCCACCTGCAGAACGGGGCTGTGATGTGGCGGATCAACTGGATGGCCGACCGCAGCCCCAGGGGCCTCACCAGCTCATGTGGCCTCATGGCCAACTTCCGCTACTACTCAGAGGAGCTGGGCCCCAACAGCACCGCCTACCTGGGCTCTAAGAGCATCAAGGCTTCCGAGCAGGTCCTCCGCCTGGTGGCCCAGTTCCAGGAGAACAGCAAGCTCTAGGCACAGCCCTCCCACAGCTCAGGGCCCCATCCCAAAAGGGTCACCTCCTGGGGGTCAGGAGAGGCCTTGTGACACAGCCGTGCTGTGTCACCTGCTGCAGCAGGGCACTCCTCAAGGCCGTGACGCAGCTGTTGCTGCACTGGCAAAGATGTGCCACCCAAAGGAGGTGGCGGGCGCTGGTGCCCACACCCTGGGGGCCACTGTGCACCCCCCAAGGTGCCAGGAAGCTCTGTGACCTCTGTGTCACCCAGGGGTGTAGTCAGGAACCATTCTCCCTGGAGCTGGCGGGGCGGGGCGGGCCTCGGCCGTGGCTGCTGGGGCCATTTCTCTGCTCGGTGTAGAGCGCTGACGGGCTGTGCTGTGCTCTGCCAAGGAAGCGCCAAGCTCCCATCTAACCAGGCACCTGACCGAGATGTCGCTGCCCGAGGCCGAAGTCGAGTGCGAGACTAAAGCTAGTGAGTCAAGTTCATAATGAACTGCACAGTAAAGAATGAGTTTGTTCTAGAAAGCACTGAACGTGGTTATTTAATGGTGGTTGTCCTTAAGATTAGACTCCAGGGAAGCTGGAATCAGCTCTGAGGAGCCGGCTGAGCCTTGGGCTCCCCGCCAGCCCACGGGAGGAGGGTGTGGCAGTGCATGTGTGTGGAGAACTGGGGAAGGGGACGTTACCAGTACCTCTGCAGTAAGTCCTAGCGAATTACAGGAAAGGTAGACAAATGAGACTGAGAAGAAGCTGAGCTGTGGGTCTGATCAGTGCTGCTCTGGGCGGCAAAGACAAAAGACCCCCAGCTTGCTGCACCTTTTATTCAGTACTCAGTACATCGGGAGAAACAGATGTAACAAGTGAAATGCAGAGTTCAGTGCCTCATATTCGGATAAGCAAGGTGTAACAAAAGACTGGGGGGCTGCGGAAATCCAAGAACAGTGAGGAACTAAGCAGATGAAGATTTGGTTCCTCCCTGGAGTCTCCTGCAGGTGTGGTCTTGCCCTGGAGCATCGCAGCATCATGGGATCACTGAGGTCTCAGTTGTGACCCGAGGCCAAAATGGAGTTGTGTCTCGGAATGCCATAGCTGGGCTGTAGGGAAGAACTAGGCTAACCAAATGATTTTGCCCTAGAATTATGTAACATTGCTCCCGACACATGTGCTTGTGTCCTTCCTTGCCTGTGTGTGCCTGCCGTGTCTGCACGCGTCACTGTTCTCACTTGGGCACGCTGGTCTCCTCCCCTTCCTTGCTCCTCGACCTGCAGATTCATGCCAGGTTCTGCCCTGTTCTGTCTGCCTTGTCTTGGCCTGTAGTAGACAGTGCAGTGGTGGTCACTAGAATCCCACCTCTTCCTGAGCCCCCAGGGCAGCAAGCTCGGCCCAGGACCCAGCCCAGCCGGGCTCTCTGCCCTCCCTCTCATCTGCCAGCCCCCAGGCTGCTGCATCCCAGGAGCTCCCACACCTGGGCCTCTTGGGGCTCGGGCGAGCTGCCACATCTGGGCCTCTGGGTGGCAGGTGCACCCTGAGACCACAACTCAGGTCCCTGTTCTACCTCTTATTAAGGAGAATTCAAAAACGGAAAAGCAAGAGAAGGCAGATATGGTAAAGCTCGAAAGTCATCCCTCAGCTCCCGCAGTTGTTAGTGGCTGTCTTCCTACAGTGCATTTAGCAATGCCCAGCAAGGGCTGGCTGGACAGACCAACAGGTAGACATGCCAGCGCCCCTTCTGCTGCTCCAGGGCACAGCTGTGATAACTGAGCCTCCCATCATACATGTTACCCAGGGCCCCTCGCTGGCTGTTTGCCGCTCACACATAGGCAAGAGCCCCTAAAGGACAGAAGGTAGCTTCTGGCTCCACACCCCACCAAGTGCTGACCACACTGCCCAGATACTGCACAGCGTGTACTCCCTTGGGTCGGAACTCATGCAGCTCTGTCTGCAGAGCTCAAAAGCAGCCAGCAGCACCCAGCTGTGGGGGCAGTGAAACTGCTCCTTGGGTCTCTGCACTCTGAGTTTGCATCCCCCAGGAGTGCTGCCCAGTGCCAGGGGACCCCACTGCAGGCATTCAGTCACCCAGACCTGTTTCCACCTACCTGCTTTCCAGGGCACTGGGCAACCACTCTGACCATTGCATCTTCCTCAGCAAAGTGTCTGATAGCATGGTGGCTTCCAGGAGGTACACAGAAATTGTCATTAGAAGTTAGTTTCCACGGTGCCTCAAGGCTAAGGCCACCCCCCCCCCAGCCTATCTCTGATCCTGTCCTTTCTCCAGTCTGTGCTTCAGACAGACCCCAGTCCCTCCATCTCATCCACAAGGGCTTCCCCAGAGGCTCAGCCTTGTGCCCTGCAGGGAGGGACTGAGATCCAAGGGATGCTGCTGGATTTGGGGTGCACATGCTCTGACTTGTTCACAGGCCTTGGCTCCAGCCAGTGCCCAGTTCAGGTCCCAGCCTTGCCAGTTCCAACCTTTGCTTGGCCACAGTTTCCTCATCTTTAACTGGGGGTACCCCAGGCACCTGCCCCTGCTAAGAGGCTCAAGGGAGACGTGTGTAAAGCATTTTCCGAAGCTTGGTTCACAAAGCTGTGCTGCTGCTCAGTATAAAGACTCACAGTGGACTTGGGTCCCTCAGTCACCTGAATGAAGGCTCTCAGATCTGCCGTCCCCTTACTTGGTTGTTAGAGTGTTTATGGTTCTCTGGCCTCAGCTGGCACTGACTCATTCCCAGGCTCCTCTGGGCACTGCGTGGCATGGGGGCTTGAGGGAGCCCCTCTGGAGGAGAGGCCCAGGCCGGGGAGCAGCCCGCTCCCAGCTGCTTCGGACCTGCTTAGCAGGGGTCACTCCCACCCCTCTGTCTGCCGTCCCTGTGTCTCCTCCCTCTCCTTCCCTCCGAGGGTTTGGCTCCTCAGGTCAGGAACAAGGAAGAGTTGACAGCTCTGCCCTCTCAGTGTCTTTCCTTTCCTCCCCTCCCCTCCTCTCCCCTCCCCTCCCCTCCCCTCTCCTCTCCAGATTGAACTCAGGACCCTGGGCTTCGAGGCAGGCGCGGTGCCACTGAGCTCCGTCCCCAGCTCCCCTCGCATGGTCTTGGGGACCTGACACTCTCCTGGAAGAGAGGACCGCCGTCCTCTTTGCTCCATATGTGGTTTCAAAAGAGGGGTTGGAACCCTCAACAGTTTTGCAAGCATCGACCTGTTCTAGGCTTCACTTGAAACTAAGGATGCAGCACACGCTAGATTTGAATTGAGCGTGCGTTTTGGGATTTGTAGTGGGATTTTGAGACCTTCCCTGGAATCTGAAGTCTGTTCAGAAACAGAAGCTGCAGGGGAATTTCTGTTCACCACAGAAAGTTTCTTATTTGCAGTGTAGCAAAATGGACAGAGGTGACCACAGACCTTTCGCGCCTTGGTTCTTTACCATTTGCATTTCATTCCTCACCCACTAGTTATGGTCACTGAGGGAGGGAGAAACCATTCCTGAGGCTCTGCTCTGGCCAGGTGTCCAGACACATTCCTGGTCTGGGGCTTCCCTTCCTGCCTGAAGGACTCCTGTCTCCATCTGTGTCCAACCCTGAAGCCAGGAGGCCCCGAGCTGGCTGCGGCTGGCGAGGCGGACTGGGACTCACTCCCGGCCTCCCTGTCAGTGCCCAGCCACACCAAGGCCCCAAGAGGAGAAGCCCCGCAGGACCGGGCCTGCCAGCTGCTCTCTTTGCCAAGAACAAAGGGGGATGGGGCAGAAAGGCAGCCGGGCTGGACCACTGGAGCCAGTGTTGGGGATTTTAGGGCGCTGCCATTGTGGCCCCAGCAGGCCTGTCCCAGGCAGTCCCTAGTGCTTTCTGTCGTGGTCAGAACCCCCAGCTGGTTCAGGACAAATGGGGAATGTGGGCCCAGAAAATCCAAGGGAAGGCGGAGCAACCAGGTGTGAAATCAAGCCCAGACACAGCTGAGCAGTGCAGGAGTCAGGCCTTGGCTCGGCCCTGCCTCGGGGAGGGTCAGCCTTCCGGGGCTGCCCAACTCCCACCCCAGGCTCACTCTTGGTGGGAGGGGGTGGGGACAGACAGATTGTGGCCGGCCAGGTCAGTGGATGAGGAATGGGCTCTGTGGCGGGTGGACCAGCGCCAGATTTCTCTGGCAGTGGTGGGAGTCCACTCTCCGCCTGAGGGTGAGGGTGAAGCGGTCCCTAGGAAGGAGGGGTGTGCAGAGCTTGGTTTGGGCCCCTTGTGAGCATCTGTGACAAAGGCTGGGACCCCGCTGTGTTCAGTCTCTGTCGCACCAGCATGGGCGGGGTGGGTAGATGTTTGGTCCTGCATGGACAGCTCACCGGTATGTGACCTGGTCCCTCATGCTTACTGCCGGCGCCGGGGCAGTCCTGAGGGCAGCCACCTGCACACTGTCTACCTCCTCCCTGCCTGCAAAGGCCGCCTAACGTGGCTTCTGACGCCACCGCTCCTTGCCAGCTCCTGCCGAGGCCCCCAGTGACCAGGGGCCTGCCCCACCAGGTGTCTACCCAGGAGCATGGGCTACTGCTCTTCTCGACACCCTGGGCACCTCCACTGAGGAGCCCTTCGCTCTCCTAGCGCAGTGTGGCAGACCAGCCTTCCAGGCTTAGTCCAGAGTCCCCTTCCCTCCTGGGAGACGCATCTGCTTCCAGGACTTCATTGGCCACCTACGTGCTGGTGCAGAGTGACTGGGCCTGGGTTGTGGCGTAAATGCAGGAGCCCTTCACACCCGGGTCCTGCTTTGGTCTGTCCAGGCCACACTTACACAGGCCCAAGCTGTCTGTTTATTGTGCAGTTTGTGCTGGGGGTCGGCCGACTCCCTCAGACCTCGCCGCCACCCTGCCCCTACTTGACGGACAGCAGGCCCGGCTGTTCTGCGGGCAGCTCCTGGTGGTCTCCCAATGGGACAGTCCAGGCGCTATCCACCCTGTCGCCACTAGAGAGCGCTGCTCGGTTCCCCATCCTCTTCCAGAAGCCTGGGAGCCTAATGCTGACTGTGTTAGTTTGGCTGCATGTGTTTGGTTTTTGCCGTGCTGGAATGGAACCCAGGGCCTTGCACATGCTAGGCAAGTGCTCCACCGCCCAGAGCTACATCCCCAGCCCCAGCGCTGAGTTCTTACAGGTGAGGCACCCGCCCAGGCCTTAAACCTGTGCTAGACTGCACAGCCCGCTCCTCTTTCAGGCCCAGTACCAGATCTCAGAGCTGCTGCAGGAGAGGGGCTGGGGCTGCCCACGCCAGCGCTACCCCTGCTTTCCGGAGCTTGTCCGGCTCTTTTACCCCCAGCCAGAGCCTGCACTCAGCTCTGCCTGTCCAAGTCATTGCTGGATGTGGGCATCACAGCTGTCCTAGAGGACCTCCAGCCCTTCGTGGGCTTCGGCTCAGGCTGACAGGGCCTCTTTCTGGTTCAGGCCTGAAGCCCAGATCCCAGCCCAAACCCTGACCATCCCCCATCGTCCGCCCTGACCGTCGCCCTCCCTGCTCAGGGCTGCCTTCCTCCTCGACCCACTCACCAGGCCCTGGCCCCACCC